TATGAAATACATAAAACAAAATAAATGTGTAGGTCATTACTAATTTGTTACAATTTTTTGCATTAGAGTTATAGTTACTGCCTAACCATTTCTTAAGTACTTGAATTTATCATTAATAATTTCATTTGTCTAAGTTATTTTTGAAACATCACGATTCCATATATACCCAACTGATTATTAAAATAAGCAAATGAAATGTGGTTATTCTATCTAGCTCAGATTTTTTGTAGTTCTCATTACTTAACATCCTTTAGCCTTGTTTCATCATCTTTTATATGGAAAGAATTTGACTAGGTGATCTGTTGATTTCATTAGAGTTCTAACATGCTATAACTTTGTAGTTCCACTCATGGAACAAGATATTTTCTTTTTCTCACAGGTTCTATGGAGATTTGAAGGTAAGAAACCACGCACCTTAGGACCCAATACTCGGCTGTACAAGTGGATCCCTCAGAATGACCTTCTTGGTAAGACTCAGAAGAACAAATACTGAAAATATGATAATAGCCAATTATAGTGACAATTATTCAAAAGGAAACAAACTTACTGACCATTTAATACTGAAAAATTCAAAAATAAACCTTTCTTCTTTATATTTATTTTCCAGTCATAGTGGGGGAAAGACTAAACTATAATAGCTGCGTTTTGTTAAACACAGCCACATTCCTAAGGCCAGAATCAAATTTCTTTATTTTAAGTTTAATTATGTCTCACAGAGAATTTTTCAGTAACTTCCTGGGTTATCCCTTTGTCTTCTATTTCTACAACCTTACACCTATCCTTTCCCCACTGCATTGTATTTCAAATGACAACAACAAATAACAGTTTCTCTTCGATTATCAGTGTCTCTACGTTTTCTATGGGAAAAACCCACAATCTTTACCATGAAGTGATAACACATTTCATGATGAAATATCGCCTGTTCTTCCTCTGATTGCAGCACCACCACCACCCCACTTCCTGCTGCTTGGACACCTGACATATCAGACTGAGTGACTTCACTGTTTCTTTGAGACAACATGTTCTTATATGCCCAAACTTTTACTTTACTTTTCTTTCTTCTTATCTTCTTTTGCACATTTATTTTATTTTATTTTTTTTTATTTATTTTTTTTACACAGAATGTGCTTTTAAATTTTGTTTTTCTGGCAATCTTGTATTCATTTTCAAGTCGCAAGTCACACACCACCTCTTCCATGTAGTCTTCATTTACCTCTTTAGTGAACTTGCGTGCTTCTTCTTCTGAGATCTGACAAAAATATAAATGTAGTTTTCTGTTTATCACAATCTATTCTCTAGACAACACTGACCCTTTCAGTGTTTAATATTGTTCATTTCTTATTTTATTTCTAAGACATAATTATTAATTTTTCTGCAATTCACTCAATTCTAGGTCATCCAAATACCAAAGCTTTTATAACTCACGGTGGAGCCAATGGCATTTATGAAGCAATCTCCCATGGGATCCCTATGGTGGGCATTCCTTTGTTTGGGGAACAAGCTGATAATGTGGCTCACATGAAGGCCAAGGGAGCAGCTGTTAGAATGGACTTCAGAATAATGTCAACTACAGATTTGCTCAATGCATTGAAGACAGTCATTAATGACCCTTCGTGAGTATAGTAATGTTTTTACTAAGTGGTATTTATAGATTGTCTTGTCAACAGTGAGGATGAGTTTTATCTCTTTAAAGAAGCTAATTAAGAAATAATTTAAATAATATAACCAATCTGAAATCTGCTTTCATTTTCAACCAGTTATTTCAAAATTGCATTTGAACCCCATACATTT